CGACGACGCTCAAGTCGGAAACGGGCGCGTAAAGAGCTCCGCTCTAAAAACCGGTTACTTGAAGTGTTTCCGAAATGAAGCACGAAGAAAGCCGAGGCACTGCACACAGCCGCGAAGAATTACTACAATTCCGTGTTTGAGTTTAGCAGAATTCTATCGCGCTGAATTTAGCGGACGGTGTTCCTACGTTACTGCGACGTAGCTTGGCGCCATGAGATCACGTGACACTGTGATGTCACGTGGCACCATCAAGTCACGTGACAATTCCCGTCATACCTAGGGGAGAAATTGTTCATCAAAATTTTGTAGATGAATTTTCCCTTTTATACTAGCGAGAAAATTGTAGCGGCATGTAAAATGACGTTACGTGATGCTGTGATTTCCCACTATATTTTGCAAAGAAACTTTCCCGCTAAATTTAGCGGGCCACGTCGTGTGTAAGCGAAACACACTTTGAATTCGCAGCGCGCAGCTTTGCCGATAACAACGGCTCATCCACTAAAATTCGAGAAAGAAACCGTATGGAAACATCGAACTGGACGTCTCAAACGTTTAACCATTTTTAGAACTTCATGAAGAAACATTGGCGGTCGCCATTTTCTCATTTATCTATAATGAAGCTCAGGGCAATATAGAACTATAGTTGATATGAGGTGGTCAGGAGTATATGGAAAAGAGGGATGGTACCATAACTGTATTTTGGCAATGGGGTACTGTGCATGAAATCAATGATCCAATCAGGATTAGAGATTCGGCAAAACGTAGGCGGATTGGCTTGGGAACATAGGGAAAGATATCAAATGAGGCAGCAGAGGGGGATATGGAATGGTCGTCTATTGAGAGAAGGGAGGCAATTAATAAGTTGAAATTTGAGCAAAGGTTGACCGAAATGGACGATATATGCATGAAAGGTTTCAGCGCGAAATGAAGAAACCGAACCCGAAAGCTTACATTTAAATACCTACACACTAGCGATGGGGCTGAGCAGACTACTTCAGTCGAAAAGGGAGTGAAAGAGGCAGAAAGAAAAATGTAGCAGGAAAGAATGCAGGGAAAAATTAGCTCTAACAATATATACAGGTCACAAAAACAAGACATAGGAAAGGAAAATGTGTTTGACAATTCACTGGGAAGTTCTTTGCTATTCCGAGGCAAGAACGAGAGTTTTGAGGACGTGGACGTATAGGTCAAAATTTTAGGAGACAGGCACATTACGTGCCGTCTGCAATAATGAGAATGAGACACTAGAGCATTTGGTATTGAAGTACAAGGGGGATTCGCCTTGCCCTCCCTAAAGGGGTAATGGATTTGGAGGGGGGGTTGGGTCGTGCTGGCGACGATGGAACGACGGAAGAGAAAAGGGTTACAGTCACAAACAGGCGATTAGAAGATTGGTGGAAATTATCAAAGGAAAACTGAATGATGCACGACTAACTAGCACAGCTGGATAAAGGTGGCACGGAGGAAAATTGGGACTCCCTCCCGCTTGGCCCCGGCTCACCGTCTCAACCCTGCCTCCCAGTGGGTCTGGTGCTGGGGTAAAGTCAACAAGGTTTGATCAGGGGGAAATCGGCGACTCTCTCGCCGGGGAGAAGTTGCGGTGGGTGATGATTTTAGTTTTTTTGCCGATCCCCCGAAGGTTATCCCCGTGGTGATAGTTAGGGGGAAAATATTGGTCTTAGAACTGCGGGAGGAATCATGTGTTTGTCCTTTTATACTTAGGCTAGGTGGTGCAAGCTACAACCCGTTACATAGGGTATACCCATAAACATCCATTCATACATCCTTAAGCACCAAGCGTGTGTGATTGGACCCGAGTCCTCGTCAAACGCTGACGAAGTACTTGTGTCGAATAGAGGCTCAAATTAAGTGACCAAACAATGGCGCAGCAGCTACTTGAAGCTGCACACTTTAGTAAAGGTTCTATTCCGAGACTTATGTGAGGTTCGTTGTAGCACCATTCCCCCGACGTCATTTCCCCAGTCCCCAATGCCCCGTGCCATTTCCCCCGAATGTCGAAATTCCCGTGCCCAAGTCTGCGCTATGTACCTGTGGATGGTTCGGTTGCGTGTTTTCAGGTGAACAAACACAGTGTAATACACGATTGCGCACAGAATGTTCGATGCGTGGTTATTTGAACTTGTAATTTTCCATCGGTTATTACTAAAATTAAAACTGTTATTTTATAACCTTCATATTCATCTTCTGCCGATTACTTTTTGACATTTGTTGATGCATTCGTGCCTAATGTTAATACACTCATGCACCTCTGCTAATATTTGACCGCCACCTCCTACATCTTGACCTCGACTCTTTGACCTCAACGTCCTAAATAGCAATATTATCATCGCACCCAGAAGTCCTCTAGGGCTATCGAAGTTCATTTGTATAGATGAACACTTCGCTGCGCTTTTTTAGTGTTCAATTGTTCTGCCTTCCTTTTGTTTTGTTTTTTCCTTAAACGTAATGTTGGTAGCTCTCCATTTTGTCCCTCGTCCCGTAACAAGGCTTCGGAGAGAAGCCGGGGGTAATGATAAAGGGATAAGGTTAAAGGGGGTTTTGAAAGACGGGAATTTTGAGCATTGGGCAGGTAAAGCAGGGAATTAACAGCGGGGATTTTGACGCAGCTAGGTGTTTCGAGATTGGGTTATTTCGTGCACAAACCGTGAGGTTTCTTTCCGTCCGGACGAGTTTTGAAATCAAGAACTATATCAGAATTAGATCGAAATCTTCTACATCTTTCCACATATCACTAAGACGGCGAAAAATGCTGAGTCACCAATCTGTGAACGAATGCGCGGCGTCTGATTTATATTGCGCATGTTCAGGATGGTTTCCACCGCCCATTGGACGAAGATGGCAGCGCGCAGAAGGCGATTTCTCGAAGGTTCTATCTGTAGCCCCTTGCATGAATGCTAAGCTTCCGGGTTATGGGAAACGGGGCCCTACGTTATCTCCGGGCGGGAATCCGCATTGTTTTGTCTTTTGGTAGAGATAAACGAGCGCAGTTCGGGAATAAGTTGAAAAGGAGTTGTCTGGATGACTCAGAACTGAAGACAACAACTTGCAAAGACACATCAAATCTGACGGACTTTCCCTGAGCAAGGGGCGTAGAAGAAAGCGCAAAATTAATTCGAGAAAGGGGAGGAAGGGGGGGGGGGGGGGTGTATATACATTTCCCGATTGCTTACTATAAATCATTGTGTCCAGATTTGTTTGAAATGTCCGAGGAGGTCGATTGCTTCCGCTCCCCTGCTCCGACTCCACTGCTTTCAGATATACGTCCGCCAAGCGTCGCCAACCTTCGTGCGTTCTTGTTTCATTTTTTTTTTTAAGTTTGTGAGTAAGTTCTTCGAAATCACATTACTTCAGTTTAGTTCAGTTACCAAGAGGTACAAACTGCGAACAATTATTTTACAAAGATAAAAGGAAAGCGACATAAAGACGAAGGTAGGGCAAAACGTCTACCAATGTCCTTAATGCCGCTTTCCTTTTTTCCTGTCCCTCATCGGCACTTTCTAATTCGTTGAATAAATTATTTTCATAGACCGCGTTATTGACTAAATTACGAAAATAAAAGAGAGACATAGAAGGCAGCATAGGCGGCAAGGGCTGTGTCCGTTCATCTTTCGTTTTCCTGATTCTTTTCAGAGAGCTACCTTTAATCTTGAAAATTCCAGTCACTTGGTTAAAATACTAAAGGTTTTTTCTTTTCTATACAACTCTATAAAGTGTTTGTTTAATGGATTACGACTTCTTGTTTTTGAACCCCCCGGAAAGTCTGCTGTATTGTTAAATAAACAAAATAGACTATAAACAACCTTACTGACTTTTTTTTTTTTTTAGGGGGGGCGGGGGTTGAGGAGGGGATGATAAGGATACTTATGAAGGCAGTTGAATTTTAATTTATATGCGTGCTATGGAACCCGATGTACTTGCCATCTTCTGATATATTACGCTTTTTTATCATGGTGAGCAGGAAATCAAGCTATACCAAAGGTGGTCCCTAGAACCCAATGAAGCAAAATATGTCCGGACCAGGGATAAAAATGTGTAGACAGTTTGTTCCGCTGAAATACATTTCTTTTAGGAGTTTTGCTTCTCCCAAAATCTTACATTTGGCTGGGGCTTCCACGCCCCAGCAAAATGTAAAATGGGCGTCCCCCCCCCCCCCCCAAAAAAAAACAAACAAACAAACAAAAACCTGGCTACGTGCCTGCTTAGAAGTATCAACACTGAATTCGTTCTCCGATTTTCTTGTAGGCGCCGCCATTTTGGTCCATAGCTCAGAGCGGCCGCGATTGGCGGTGGCAATCTTTCGATAGTACAACTTCCGAGCTTTATAGATACGGTGTGAGAAATTACACGCGATGTTGCTTAGGTCTTTCGCGGTCTGTTCTAACAATTCTAGAGAATGAAAAATCGTTTCCCGCTTCTTCAAATTGAGCTTCAAATACCTGGAAACATGATTTTAAAAAGCAAGGTGGCTGAAGTGTAGTTATTGTGAAGAGTTCAAGTCCTGGCTCCGCCAAATATTTCTTTTTCTTTTTTTTTTTTTTTACTTTTGGCGATTTTGTAAAACTTTGATTCAATCGATCAAGTGCGGTTCATTCATCTGCATATTTTTGATTATTCCCTTCTGGAGATGGCCGGTTATTTCCTCGATAAGCAACGGAAAAGAACCGTTTTTTTTTTTTTTTTTTTTTTTTTTACGACGTTTGTTTTGCGCAACTTTTATGTTTATCGTAAAAACAACAATATAATCCCTTTCCACCCTAAGTAATGTGCATCCAACGTTCGACCGGTTCCGCCATGTCTCTGTCCATAGGGCGGGGTGATAGTGTAGCAAGCGCCACCCAGCGCACGCTCCATGAAAAGGCGCCAGGCGTTCAGTGAAGTTTGTCAACTGACTTTGATTACTAACGTTGGTCACCACTCAAGCAAAAGCGCGTGTTTTTTTGAAGGCCCTCTAATTCGCCCGTTCTTCGTTTTCTTCCCAGGCCGAGCACGGCGTCCTCCCAGGACTCGCTCATGACCCTGAACCCGGAGGAACCGGGAGGGGGAGACTACGACAACATCAACGTCGTCGTCAGGTCAGTCGAGAGGCATAGCAACGACACTCTTCTTTACTTTCAGCTGAAGTCGCACGATGGTAACAAATGATCTACTTGAAGAAATAAACCCCTTTTAAGGGTCATGTGCACATTTTTAGAAGGTGTGGAGAACTGCACAATGGTGGAAGAACCGACATCACAAAAGTGCCAGCCTAATACAAGATAAGGCGGTGAAGAAGTGGTATTAGTAACTCCCTTGTGTCTCAGTTTCGGCGGTGTCTCTTGTAACCGTCATTGCGCAAGGATTCCACTGTTTCAAATATGGAGCGCATTTTCGAAAGGACACCCGACTCCCCTACGGGAGACACGCCAGAATGAGGGGTTATATGCAGATGTCGACGTATTCTTAATAGCTTCACTTACATAGTCACAACGTGCAATGTATTGAGCGGTGCTGCTGGTCATGTCTCATGCCTTGTCTGCTCCGTTGGTGTTTTTGATGCCGCGCGGATTGATCCGCGCACCGCGTGAGCACGCTGCTCTTTGTGGCTTATGCCATGCAGGTCATGACGTCCCAATAGGTGTTGGCGGTAATGCGTTACAAGTAATGGCGTTGCTGGTAATGTAGTAACCTGCGGGTTACAATTTCAAAACAGTAACGTTACTTATTTCAATTAACAGGTGACGTAGTTACGTTACTCGATACATCTTCCCAAGACCTGGGGATAACTACACTTAAAAATTTCGTGTTTCTATACTTCGTTTTACCTTAAGTGCAGACGCAGCCGATCCTACGATTTCATGGTACCAATCAGGAAGCGTCAAAAGGGCACCATCATGGTGCCCTTTCGATGGTAAAAATGGCCGTTTTAATGGAAGCGAGACAACTTAAGGGCCTCCCTGCCATCCTATCCTGTCAATTACTATATTATGAATTGACTTCAAAGGCTACAAGCGCGATTTCCTTGCTTTTCATCACTCCTCGGCAGCACGAACACTCATGCAGCGAGGGCACCAGTCGAAGTTCCCTTGCCGTGCTTTGCAGCTACCGTGAAAATCTACAAAACAAACCATGTTTGGTATGAGAAAACGCAAAAAATGGTGATTAATCAGTTCCTTTTCCAAAAAGAACGGTTCCAAGGTCTCTGGGTTATTGCAAGTTAGAGGGTAACTCTGGTATGTTTTCTCGATTTGAGGGTTACGGCGGTTTTTAGTGAAGGAAGTGCAAGCGAACTACGAGATGTCAGTTGTTTTTGTTTTTTTTTTTTTTCTTTTTCGATAACTTGTGTAGTTTTGTAGATATACAATTTTAAAGTTATGTTTTGGAGGTCTACAACGGGAAACCGGAACCACCAGTTTGAGCATGATGGCAACCGTTGTGATCAGCTGCATGGCCATAAAGTGAGCGGAGTTTGGCAACTTCCGGTTCCTTGGAAAATTTTGTTTAGCTGTTGGCAATCGACGACAATCTGCAGGCATGGTTCTGAAAATTACAGTCTGGGGTTTCAGAATTATGTTTGCACAGGCATGCCGCTCATTGTCGTCGTTTGTGAACAGTGAAACAAAATTTCCTGAGGAACCAGAAATTGCCAAACGCAGCTCACCTATTGCGGTACCCCAAAACGTACTACTGGCCTATTCGCAAGAGCAGTTCCAATCAGCCTGGCAAAATGCTACGCCTTTTTTACTGCATCGCTTTGCAGATAATGTGAAACATCTGTAGCAGATATTAATGCGCCGAGAAACTGAGGGAGAGGAGGAGACGAGTACGCGCGGGCATGTCAGAATGTCGAGCTCATGGTTGGTATGCTTAGTGGGTAGACCTAGAATAACCGGATCGTGGGGAAAGTAGGGCCAAGCTCCCCGTATGGTCGCCATTTTGGCTCATGAATTTAGCAATTTCTCCTTGACCTCTCCATTCTTGGTGAGCGGATCTAAATTCGCTGGTGAACAATAGCTTTATAGCGATGTTTCTTGTATACTGAGGTTTTTCTATTCACACACCTGCGAAACAAGTGTGCGTCTTCGTACCACCACCACATGGGGTGTCGGTGTTTGAAAGGCATTGAAAAATGATTTTCCTGTTTTGAAATACGCAAGAAGAACAATATAATTGTAAAAGATCCGTGGAGATGGGCTCGATTGATAAGTTGATTGCATACACGGTGCCAAAGAAACTTATGTTGGCGAGGAACGCCTTCAGTACGATGATAGCTCTGACTGCCCTTGTGCCATCGTCAAAATAAGGCGCGTTCTGAGGTCACCCATAAATAGCCAATGTGGTGGCAGCCGGCCCCTCTAGTGACGAATCTGTCACGTGACCACCGACTGACCACTCGATTCCGCGAGGCCCGCGAGGAAGACAGGTCAGGAGCAGACAAGGCCGCCGCGCTTTGCGCGCCTTCGATATACACCGACACGCGGGCTCGACGTCACGGAGCTGCGGCGGCGCTGCGATCGCGCCGGAGCCGGGGGGTGTGGGCAAAAGCGCGCACGTTTCGCATGGGCGTCATAGCATTTCAGCATGCCGCGAAGCTGTGTTGCCGTTAATTGAACCGAAATGTACAAGAAAGGCAGCGGAGTGAGTTTCCACAAGTTCCCGGCAGACTCTGAAAGACATAGAAGGTGGATAATATCCGTGGATCGAAAAAAATGGTCGCCTCGCGCAAACGACCGTTTGTGCGGCATACACTTTCTTGGAGGCAGGTGCGGCTTCCATTTCAATCTCCGTCCCGAGGCTTGCATATGTGCAGGGAAACCGTTGTCTGATCGAGACCACCCGGATTTTGTTTCCACGGTGTTCGCGCACAACGCACCCGGGCACCCCGCAAGCGCTGGTCGGAGGCTCGCTACGCCCGTGCTACCGAGCAGAAGGGGATCGACGACAGAACGGCAGTGTTGTAGGCGTTACCAAAAAAAAAGTAACGAAATACGTTACTCGTTACTTGCAAATCAAAGGCACGCGTTACTGAGCTACGTTATCTAAAAATAAAAGGACGCGTTGCCGCTACCGATAAAAAGTGAGGCACGTTACTTCTGCGCTACCTTTTTAAATTATGATTGAACACATATTACGGTTTTGACGATACAGGTCATATATCAAGAAACATCATGTTCATGCAGAAACTGAACATAATTACTTTAGCTCTTTTCACGGTTTCACCTAAATACTTACGAGAAAAAACGCAAAGAAAAACATGGCTTGACGCCCAAACAACGGAAACAATTGAAGTGTAATTTCTTTAAGACTTGGGAAGTAGTAATGACTAACGTAACTACGTTACTTGAAATAGTAACATAAGTACGTTACCCGTTACTGTGCCGAAAACGTAACGAGTAGGTTACTACGTTACTGAAAAAAGTAACGCGTTCCTGGTAACGCCGTTACTTGTAACCTGTTACCGTCAAGACTGCAGAACGGACGAACCTTTATTGGTTGTAATGCCTTGTGGTCATGAGGGTATGAAAAATATCATACCTTGACTTGAAGACGCTCTGTGTATTTAATCAATTAATGAATACACACACTTCCGCAGACCCAGAGTCTGCTGATCCCGCCGGCAGTGCGGAAACCGACTCGATGTAATCGTAGACCTCGAGAGACTTGTACGCCTGCACCGTGTCGGCCGTGAACTGGCTTGGCGAAAAAACTAAATAAACGACGGCCTGAGCCGTTGACTTCCGTGGCAGCAACTTTACGTCGGGAGTCCAGCAGCCTTGTTTACGGCGTACGGATCCTCGTAGGCAACGCCGTCCACGCACAGTTTGTTTCGATACCGCTGCCGTTCAGGCTCGGGCAGCGAGCTCAAATAGTCGGGCATAGCATACGACATACGTTGTCAGGAAATACGACGCACAAATAAAGATACAAGCGTCCCTACAACGTCAACAACGAGCGCACGCCATAGAGTGCAATGGCGAAAACACGGACAGCCGGGCTGCTTTTGCCCACATAGCTACCGCGCATGCGCGGCCTTCCGGCCGTGTTAGTAAACAGAGCCGCTCCGCGTGTCGGTCTATATGTCCGGATAACCTAGGAAACTAAAAAGTCTTTATGCAGCGCCGCGGCGTCATAGCGTGAAAAAACGCTGCGGCCTCGGCCATGTACTATTGGTATGCGCTGGTATACATTCTTCTCAACGAGCTTCAGCATTACGTTAGAGCGGCAAACCAGAACCCACAGCCCAGCGAGGAAATGGCACCTCCGCCCAGGTGACGCCATCTTGCCTGTTTTCCACGTTAGTGACCACGTGACGTCAGGATGGCTGCGCCCAGAGGTGGGCCAGATCAGATTGGCCAGATCACGGTCAGCAGATCGGCCTTCTGGGGCTGTGTTCCAATCTTACTCGAATGGATGGGAGTTATTCAGGCGTGTCATGTCACGTGACAAGACAGATAGAATAACTGTACGTACAGTGCCCTAGAAGTTGGGTAGTGGGCTCACCGCCCTATCTCACCCTGTATTGCTCTGAAGCGGCTGGTGTCGAAAACGCCGGAGGCGCTGCGGTAGATTCCTCCTGAAACTTCTCCCACCCTCTACCCGCGATTGGTCCGCCCGCTGCCCGCGATTGATAAGAGCCACCTAACCGACCTAGTCTGGCCAATCCGCGCTGGAAAGTTTCAAGAGGAAACGCTTACAGCGCCACCGCTGCGTCGACATCAAACGCACCAGGCCGAGCCGTCCCGTGAGCCCACTACAACTCTCTAGACCACTGTACTGGACGCGGGTAGGTTTTCGAACGGGAATGTACAGTACCTTTACCCTAGAGTCAAATCTAGTAAATTTTGGAACACGGCCCTACTGACCGTGATCTATCCAGTCTGATTAGGCCCGCCTCTGGGCGCAGCCATTTTAAGAATACTTGATCACTAATGTGGCAAATGGGCAAGGTGGCGGCAACCCGGGGGGGGGGGGGGGGGGGGGGGCAATTTTTGGCCGCTGGTTTACCGCTCTAAGTTTACTCAAGCTCATTGATTCTTCTGTGGGCAGATCAGGATTACAATAGGTGTTGTTGCATACCCTGTGTCGGTGGGCAATACAAAAATGCACCGGGTCGAGGGTAAGTACGTCAGTTGCGCGCTGGTGTGAGGTTATGCGAAAAGGTATATAGATACCCTTAAAACGTTTAATTCACTTTGGCTCTGCTTACCTGACTATTTGAACGTGCCTCACGCAATAGCGATAACATAAATTCGTGCTGCTAAAACACCAATGCAAAACAAAATGGGACGGACGGGAGTCAAATTCACAATGTGCGAGTCTTACATACCGCTAGCTTGCACGGCCGCCGACTTTCCTCACTGAATTCACACGCCGTATAATAGCAGCTAATACTTATTTTACCTAGATACACTCAATAATTCAAATTCTTTGTGTCATAAGCGAGGTTTAGCGCAGCAAAACTGAACGGCGCGTCGTCGAATGCTCAGACTTCGTCGAAATGAAGAGCCAGCAGTTTTGAGCAGGTGCAAGTTCGAAAATGGAATATTTCATGATACAAACGATAATATCAATATTTGTAAAGTTGAAATGAGGAATCGGCGTCCGTTTTCGTCGAGAAGAGTGATTCGTCTGCAAGAATAAAAAAATGTACGACAAATTGCTAGGCAATTGTGTTGTTAGCATCCCAAACGTTTAGGGATACTCTCAGTCTCCAGACGCCAGACGCCTAAGATGACTGCTCTCTCCGTCAGATAGTTTAAATCGTACCATGTGTACACTTGAGAGTTCTTCCTAGGATGAAGCGATACTACCGCCAACCGGCCTGATAAACCTGGCGATCTTCCAGTCCCTTCCATACCCGCGAGCTCCTCCCCTCACTGCGCAAAGGTGGCCGAGATCCTCTTCGCCTATTTCGCTCCTCATCGCCTACCCCTCTGGTCACATGACTTCCCCGTTCACCAATGAGCGTCGAGCACGTAACTTCTCCTTTCCCACCTGTCAACCAATCAGTGTCGAGCCTCGCGACCACGCTTTTATCTGAGCTTCTCGAAATGCCGAACACCTAGCCAAGGAATGCACAGAAAGAATAAAACACGTAAAGGACGAACACAGACACGCACAGTTCTTTCAATGAGCAACCAACATTTGTGAGATGCCCATGACGCTACGGCCTTGAATTTAAAAAGAATTGAAAGAAAACGAAAATATTCAAAATTTAAAATGAACCCAAATTACTCACAAATTTTAAAAAATACCAAATTAAGATTACATGAAAAAGTATGGAAATTAACTCCTGAAAATCGGGGAAAGAAAGAAGATAAGAAAGGAAGGAAATTAACCTCTAGAATAGGGGAAAAGGAAGAAGAAAAGAAAGGAAAATAAGACACAATTAATAATTGATCAAAACAAGCTTTTTTACGATAATTCTGGCGCGAGGAACTCCAGCTCTTTTGACGATAACACCAAGGAAGGCTCAGAGGCATTGTTCGCGGCCGTATCTGATCTTAAACGCTTCATTTATTTTGCGCCCACACTTATCTCTGTGTGGATCAGGCACTTTGGTGTTTTCAAAGTTTGGCGTGCAGGCGTGGCAGGTACGGGCATGGACAACTATTGGGTGGAATGACTCCGATAATGCCTTGGTAACTTAGGCACCTTCCAGTCTGGCCGATGTATTGACGTCCGCAACTCAATGTGATCGAATAAATTGGCTTCTCCCTACAGTTAACATACTTGTTGGAGTGCTTGATGGAGCATTCTGGTGGTCGATTATCGCTATTCATGCTCTGGCACATTTGTTTTATCCTCATTCTACAAGTGAAGACCAGAATTAATTGGGGGGCTAGTTGGTTGAACATCTAGACGGTGGTTTTGAAAGCGCAAAAGACTGAGAAGAGAAGAAGAGAAAGCGCTCTGTCCTGTCCCTTCCTTCTCTTCTCAGTCTTTTGCGCTTTCAAAACCACCATCTAAGTGAAGACCACTTTCGTGTCGTACAGAGCAGCAAGAGTCTTCAGGCGGTGGGCGGTGTTGTGCACGTACTCTTGCTGGTGATCGAGGTGGCGATCGAGGTGGGCAGGTGGTTCCTTTCAGCGCTAATCTTTGGTATATATGAATGAAAAAGACACGTTGGTCTGATAATGAGAGACGTTGACTTTACGACAGTGATCTAAGCTCCAAAAGTGAGCTCGCTTTTCAGTGACTGATTATAATGCTAAATTTTGTGGACAAAATCTAGTCGCGACGCTTGTTTACTTGGGACAAGGTGAGAAAGCTTTAAGTTAATCTTGAATAATGATACTATCAATATACGAGGGTAAGGTAGGTAGTGAAAATAAAACACGCCCTGCGATTTGGAGGTGCGAACAGTCTGCGTGTATCGTGTTCGGTGTCACAGCGCAGACCACGTTCTTTTGTGTGCATACCACGTTTCAAACTAAGTCAATCGTCGTCTAAAGCAATCATGCGCAATAAATACGACATAATCCCGCGTTTTTCTTTTTGTTTTTTGTTTTTTTTCTCCGCGTGTTTTGTTCGGTCAACGATAGCAAGCGTACAAAGACTTTTGAGCGCCGTGACGGTGCACTTTTGGCATTGCTTGATTGGTTCCATCATATTGTAGACTGAATTCGGATGTGGAAACATGCGTCCTCAGATTCTGGATGTGGCTAAAGAAATAAAGTGAATAGATACTTTAAAAAAAATCAAGGATTATATTTTTTAGCATAAATAATTGCAAAAATGTTCCAAAAGCCGGGATTCATGATTAAAAACAAATACCTCCGACTTGCATAACAATACCCACAATTTATAAATAGACGTTTCGTCTCCTATGCGGGAGACATCATCAGTGCAGCTTGTGATGGTTGTTTGGTTGCTGGTAGCTAGTCGGGTGTTCCTAGGCTGCACCGATGATGATGATGCTCCCGCATAGGAGACGAAACGTCTACTTTTAAATTGTTGGTATTGTTATGCGAGTCGGAGGTATTTGTTTTTAAGCATAAATAATATATTCTATAAAAATATAGAAAATATAATTTTTTGTTAACTTGTGCGTGTTTTGTATATGCTGTGTCGCTCTGAAACCTGTATGGGGTACAGGACCTTGGTCGCTGCTCGATGCACTCGTCCCTGCCACGCCGCTTCGAAATGGCTGGTAAAATGTGATGAAATGGCTGCGCTGCGAGTACGTGTGGAGTGTAAACGTATTTACGGCCCCGCCATTCGCTAAGCCGGCCCACTTCATTGATTGCAGCGATTGACTCTCCCGTGTAATTAGGGGGAAAATATACGCTTCGGACTTCTTATGGAGAAGAATTTTTGGGCTCCGCTGGCAGCCACATTCTTACGCACGTTTACTAAAAATGTTTTTTTTTAGACATATACTAATGTGACATGTCCTAAACGCTGGCGCTAGGTTCGGGTGAATGGGAAGCTTAGAGCAATCGCATTTTATTTTTGCGGTGTAAACAAAATCGCCGTTTGTTTTCCTCGGCCGACGCCCTTTATATGGTGGACGTATAACATTTCCCCCGCTTCGAAGACACGAATCGTAGAGAGTCTAATAAAAGAAAAAAAAAATCTTTACGCAGGGTTCGACCGCTCACGCCGCACGAGAACAATAGGAAGAACAGTCAAGCACTCAACTATCCCGGAGAAGGACAAGTACTCGTAAGCGTCGTTTATGCACATTTTAGGCTTACTTAAAGCCCGGCATTTGTGTTATGGTGTGACATTTGTTTTTTAAGTCGAAATAGGCGTGAATGATAGGAATGACGGCGTTGCAAACAACCTTATTTTGTACCTGTTGGCGCTTGTGTAAAGCAGAACAGTTTTTTCAACGTAATGCAGAGCGCAAGTTCGTCTGCTTCTTGGACAGAAATCGCGAGGATGTCAGAACGCCAAGCTCTTATTGGCTGAATGAAAAAAAGAAAATAGTGGGTAGACCTCGAGGCATCTAGCATTGCGGTCTACCCATTGTCCTTTCAATCAAAGCCAACCAGATCTCGGCATCAGTTTGACGTCACCGCAACTCCTACGCAAGAAGCAGACGACTTGCTCTCCGCATACACCCGAGGCTCGTGGTCTCTAAAGCAGGGGTCAAACTGCTAATACATGATACAAAAGACAGCTTGCAGACACTGGCTGGAGTGTTTTTCTTGTCCTTGATGGTGGTTTTTGCCCGATTGGTCATACAAAGACTGTCTACAGTCATGTTCCAAACATGCGCGTGTATGAAGCAAACACGCTTCAAACATATGCTTGTGACGTGTCCGGAAATAATTATGACTTCATCGTGTCGGCATGCCGTGTCTTTCGTATGATGTGTAAAAAGTGGGACTCCGGCTTAGAGAACCATCCACGACTGGAAGGCACAATATTTGTCTGCCGACAGAAGAGATGTCTATACGATGAGCAGGAATATAGGGTTTCGATGCTGTAAAGAGAACCCCTGTCCTCGCTGCAGTCGTATATAACGCCGCCATTATGATGAAAGTCTCCAAAATTGTGTAATGAACTAGGAAAAACGTATCAATTTAATTGAATCTGTAGATGTCGCGTGGACCTCCATTAAGTAGGTTCCTTTAAAATCGAACTTTCGTCGATAATTAATTTTAAATTTAATATTTTTGAAGGATGAAAAAAAAACAGAACTACTGTTCTAGAACAAAACATATGTGCATCGCGTGGTTCCTCGTAAACTAGAATTCTGACAATCAGAAAAGCAGCCTTCAGTTGAAAACGTTTACGTCTTAAAGGAAAATCTGAAGGTTGGAACACTCGCAAATATTCAGCCGAAATTCGGGAAAAAAAGTTTAGATGGGAAAAATTGTGACAGCTATTTTTTTTAGACTACATGTAAATTGCAAGTCCTTCGTTCATATTGCTAATTCACAATTTCTCGGTCATTAATACCCCGGAATGATTCGTTTGAAAAAAAATGTGTTGGAATTATTTTTCTTATGTTCCATATTTTGTGCGATTATAGGTTGTTTTTACGTAAGACAAATCAATTGCGTGTTCCCATATCTGCTTCAATAATTACTCTCCTCGCTGATTCAACACTGTAGGTCAACGACCCCAACTCGGGACAGACAAAACTGTTCACCTTCACGGTGGTATTCGAACCCGAAGCCACCCAAGAGGATGTGTTCGAACACTGTGGCATCAAGCGGCTCATCGACATGGCCTTGGACGGGTGAGTGGACCCCTTTCTCTTGCAACAAGTGCGCCCGCTTACGCGAGACAATGCTAAAAATACACTGCGATTTAAAAGAAAACACATAAAAAGGAGGGATGTTTATTTACGAGTCATTCAAAAAGTGTATCCATAGGACTTACCTGGTTCTTGGGACACAAAAGCATGCTTACATCAAGAAACGCAAAGTGCTTTCGAGGATGTTTCTAGGTCCATTAACTACGGTTTTTACAATTGGGTTCCTAACCACCAAAGAAAACAGGTTTCTGAGTAACTGGAATGCGAAAGACGCCCTTTTGTACCGGGCCCATCGAGTCATATCCACACAGGTCCACACAGTAGTGTCCCACAGCCCCTTTCTAGCAGTCCATTGGCTTCGCGATAATATAGAAACTTGGCAGACGTTTAACTTCGAAAATCGGATGTCTCATTCGATTTTCGTTAACGATAGAATGCCCGTGCGCATGCGCCAAATTGGTTTCAGAAAGCCTATATTAAAAATCCTGAAAGAAAAAAAAAAATTAAATAGCGTGGTTTGGACACGTGTGTCAAAAAAAAATAATATTACGAGAAAAAAAAATTCTAGAGCGATGTTGCCGGCGCCAGAGCCTTTTATACTGGGAGAGTTCGGCGGTTCTTTGATCCAGCCGCCAGTCTGGCAGCACTGATCAGACAGTCTGGCAACTGTGCGCATCCGCCATGATGTGCCTTGCCGTCTAGCTTGATTACACCTTTGCATTTAATTGCATTATAATTATAACCTTAATTTCCAAGCTTCACCCTTGTTTGGTGTAAGGCTGGTGGCGGCTGATAAAACCCGTTTGCCCTACTGACTCGAGCCGGCAGTCGGCTCGCTAGAGTCCATGGAGCGAGAGACGACGATGAAAATGATCGTTCTGCGCTGCGCTCTGCCAAACGTTAGATGAAAAAGAAATGGGGGGCTGCAGTGCCGTTGGGTGCTCGAACAACGCGAAAAAGGGGTTCAGGATGTACCGGTTCCCGCGAGGAAAAGAAAACCGCGCAAGGCACAAGATCTGGGAAACCAAACCAAGAAGGGCTGACTGGAAGCCGAGTTCTCGATTGTGCGAGGTAAGTTTATGATTAACGTATGATTAACCTAACAAAATGCTTGATTTTTCGACTTTCTCCTTACGCCAACAAAAGCGCAAACGGCAAAACCTACACGCGTATACATCGCATGTCAATGGGGACCCACACGCCGGGAGGCACATCATGGCGGAAGCGGCGCCCGCTGAGTCCGCTAGACCTAGCGGGCCGTAAGCCCCTCCCACCCGCCGAACTCTCCCAGTATAAAAGGCTCTGGCCGGCGCGAGACGGTATTTAGTCGGTAGTCACCTCCTTTCCACTTGTTTTCTCTCGGCATTTCGGGCGCGTGGAGGAGAGGTGGAGCGGGTTGGCCATCACGTTGAGGGGGAGACAGTGTATGAACATTCCATGACGTCATGGACTTTGCGTGCAACATTTAAAATGGATCTCGTGCCGTCAGTATGGATATAAAGCTTCTTTTTTTCTTTTTTCGCGTAAAATTGATTTCCCGACACGCGTGTCCCTCTCAAACTGTTAAAAAAAAGAAACATGTTTTTTTTCTATTTTAGGGGCCTTTTTTGGTCGTGAAAAAAAAAGAGGGGCAGCGAAAGGTCCATCTCTTAAAAGAAGAAAAAGCATCCGTGGCAAAGCCTTAGAAAAAAGCTACGCTTTTTTTCCTTGTTGCTGCCAGACGTCCGTCGAGCACGGCGCTCTCGGTCTGCCTCGGCGCTGTACCGTTTTGGCGCTAATCCTTCCCAAATTTAACTGATGTATTATTTTACGTCAATCCGGGTTCTACCGCTAAATTTAGGGGGAAAATTAGATTCGTGTATAATCATACGTTAATTTAGGTTTTTCCACTAAATTTGGCTATGGAGTCACCACGAACGGACGCGCACGATGTTCCGGTATAATGGTGGGGGAGAAAAAAGTACGCAATAAATCATTTGCAAAACCCCATCGAGCAATACTGACGCTCTCCATTTCTTGGGCACGAACTGTGTGATTGGATCCGAGTCCTCGTCGAACGCTTACGTCACATTCGTATCCAATACGACCTGAGCCGAGTTCACGTCGAACATGAAAGGAGGCCCCGTGTCCAGTACGCGCTCGCAGTACGTGCCTAAGCCATTGCGGAAACAGTTAGTGGGCGCAGCGGCCACTAAATGGCGCGCACTTTTGAAAATGGCATATTAGTTCCCGGCGCAGTCCCAGCTATCCTTTAAATACTCTGAAGGAGCTTCCTCCCGTAGGCACTTTGCAGTAGTACCGGTCACATAGCCCAGTGTCCGCGCCAATTCCAGGGCGCCGCCATGTTTATCTACGCTTGCGCCACCACGCGGAAAGAACAGGCAGGCAGGAGGGGGGGAGGGGGGGGGGGGGGGCGGCTGCGTTGGAGGCATTGCTTTGGGGAGCTAGATGCGTAAGGCTGTTCGAATGCACCGACACATCGTGAAAGATGTCTTCACCAGAAGCCCCCGCGGCCCGTTCTTGAACAGATAAGATGTCGTGAACATTCGAGAGCCCATCTCGATCAAGAAAACAAGAGAAAACCTTTCTTGTCTTAATTGTTCTCGGTGTCTGCTGACCCTTGACATCCGCGTTTCAGTCCGGGTTCATTGCGTAGTAAATATTTCGCTACCGCTTTCTTGTAGCTTTCGAATGCTTGATTGCCGGCTTCTTGTATACGACATTACATTCGTGGCATGTTTGAGACCGATTTTCGCGATCTACTTGCCTATCTGCGGCAGCGCGGCTCTGCCGAGCCGAAATAAGTGGGAGGCGTTCACTTGATCGAACGTCGTTTTAACGAATGAAAACGAGACCACTACGTTTCATCGAATGACTCGCGAATGGCGGCGTTCATATTAGCGAATCGTTCTAGTTACATAGACAGCTCGGATTAGCTTTCTTTTGTGATGTGCCGCCTTGTCTGCCGCCGCAAAGCGGCGTAAACGAAGGCTTCGAGTATGTTAGCACGCTCCCCCCCCCCCCCCCCCCACACACACACACAAACTAACACACACGCTGCGAGCGTCTGGGTTCGAAACTATTAATTGACACTTCGAAAGGATGGTACTTACATGAAGTGGGAGCTGGAATTCTACGAGGTACCAGGAGACACTTACTATCGGGCAACGAAGCAGGGTGCCTGTGGGGGCGGAGTCTAGGAACGCTACTGATTAATATTGTGACAGGCGATCAGTTATGATAACAGACGAAACTTCGACTCGTTTGTTCAGAAGTTCGCTGTGATATTTTATTAGCCCTCGTTACAGCACACCAAAGATCTTAGGCAGCGAAATTCACATCACGCAGGCTCGTGCGTTGTAGTCAAATGAGCGAAGTCGACGACGAGGTGTAATGAGCTACTAAGCTTCACAAGGAAAATGCCCGTGAGAAAGAGTTTTGCGGCAGTCCAAAACACTGATCCAGCAGACGCACGTACACCGTTTACTCCGGACTCCGTGAACCCGACGGCGCAAGATCAAAGCGATCAAAGAGCACCGCCGCCATCGCCACCCGGTTTTCTCTGTACTTTGCGCGACAACAGCACCGCAACGGAGGGCACTCGCCTCGGCGTTAACAATCCGCGAAATAGATTAATTTCCCACTCTTGAAGCCATTCCATATGATAAGTGAAAATACCTCGGCGTTGTAGAGCATCTGACGACACAACAGTGCCGAGCGCCTGCTCGGCATCGTCGTTACTCGTGAAGGCCTGCCTATTTGTAGTTGAGACGATGATTCCACATCTTTCGTGCCACTCGTGGTGCTTGCAATAACTTCGAAGGGCAGGGGAATCTTCTCACGAGGACGTTAAAGACACGCAACACCGGAGCCCAAAGCAATCGTACAAACCGTCGTCATGTTTGCTTTCTCTTCGTCACTCGCGGCGCGGTCAACTCGTCGCGCGATGTTTTCCGGCTCGTCTAGATGGAAACCAACAGCGGCAAAGTGGCGTATGGACAAACGGCTCTCACCATTACGGGAACTATACTCACATACCGCGGTAAACAGGACCGATGCCGGCGAAACGGCAGTCGGCACACCAGCGAAGAAGCCCGCGGCGGGAAGCAGCGGCGCAGGCCGACGCAGCCAGCCCCCCCCCCCCCCCCCCCCCCCCCCCCCCCCAATCCCTCGCCGTGAGCGTCTAGGTTCAAGATTATTGTTCGCTTTTGCTCCTTGCGGTCGAGGCTAAAAAGAGCACTTCCGGACAAAGGTCTATACCAGCAGAGTTGAATGCGTGAGCGTGCATGGCATGTAGCAGAGATAGTGTGGAATTCGACTCGCGTCAAGGTCAGAAATCCGCACGTATCTAAGCCCGGCACCATGCCTTGAGCATTGGTATCTTTTTCGAAAGCGATTAGGCAGATGTGATCTGGTTAAGGCTCAAAAACCAGACGAATTGCACAGCCTTAAGCTGTGTGAAGGCCATAAAGTTAGAGAAGCTTCCTGCCAGCAACCTCAGTGTAGACCGACACAATAAGATACTGGAAAAAAAAATAACGACGAGCAAAGTGACAATACACCTCGCAGCGAGGTTTTAAATATATTAGACGCTGACCTTCTCTTGTTTTGCCCAGATACCAAGCCACGGAAGCGGGCGTTGACGAGTCTTTAAAAGGCCTGCGCTGGGAGGACACAGTATGATCTAAAAGGGCGATAACGTGTCCTGCTGTGGAAACGATTGATTGATTGAATTCCTTTATTGACAAGAATGGCTCGAGGCCGCTGTGGGACAAATGGGGGTAGCGGAGGGGGTTTGTTCATTTGCACATGTCGAGCAGGGTGCTAAGGCAGTCTGCTCGCACTACACCGCTCGGTATATGCCTCAGATTTTTCCATAATCTGGGACAACCCTTTGGGCGTCATCATCTGTTTGTATAATAGTAGTAAGGGCTGCTAAAGAGGTCGCGTGTAGGTCGTCGATGTGGTCTCGGCCCTGTGCG